GACTCTAAAAAACCATTAAATTGCAATAAGACATTACATATACAATAAAAATTAAAGTATCCATTGAATTCAGTAAAACAGCATCACACTGGAAAAAATAGTCAAGCCCAGCTGGCATGACTCAGTGATTGAGCATCAACCTATGAGCCAGGAGGTCATGGTTTGATTCCTGGTCAGGGCACATGCCCAGGTTGCAGGCTCAGTCCCCAGGGTGAGGCGTGCAGGAAGCAGCCCATCAATGATTCTCTCTTATCATTGATGTTTCTATCTATCCCTCTCTTAAATAAATAAAATAAATTTTAAAAATAGTCAAAAAATTAGCTCTTAATCTTTTCTGGGGACAGAGAAGCAGAAGAAAATGAGATTAAAATTAAAAATCCACGGCCCCAAACAGGGTAAAGGTGAGACAATCATTTATTTATTAGACAGGGCAGGTCATTAAAAGAGAGGAAACATATTCAAAAGAATGTGCTTTTCTTGTGTTATAGGCACTGATGCTCACAAAAAACAACACTGCTCAATACGTCATGGAAACAGGCCACATAGAGCCAAGAAGATGCTGTCATGCCACTGAAAAAGAAGCTACACTGCTTAGGAAACAATCCCTAAGGCAGTGGTTCTCAACCTTGGCTGCACATTAGAATCACCTGGGAATCTTTTTAAAATCCTGATTTCTGGGCCTCATCCTCTGGAAATTCTGTTTCTTTGTTACTAATGTTGTGGCCCCACCCCATAATAAAGAAACAGAATTTCCAGAATATGAGGCCCAGAAATCAGGATTTTAAAAAGATTCCCAGGTGATTCTAATGTGCAGCCAAGGATGAGAACCACTGGGTTACAGAGAGCTCCAATTCACTGTTCTACATTTTCTAGAGCTGAGCCATTAGCTCATAGCATTTGGCTGGTTCCCTGGTTACTAAGAAGTGAGTCTTCCCATATTCTAGAGAGCTTTCAATAGTTCAGACTTCTGAATGTCACTGAAATCAGTCATCTGCAGGCTGAATTAGCTTACATTACTACATTTTTGGGACTTACCCTAGGTCGGAGGTGGGGACTGTCTTGCCCATGGACTGAGCCGTATAAGGCCCACAAAATCACTTGGTCTGGCCCTGCCAAGGCATTGGGGGTGAGTTAATTAAATGTTTAACCAAATATAACAAGCTAATTTTTAAGTTGATAATTTTGTATGGCCCGCGAATGATGTTATAAATACCCAAATGGCCCTTGGCAGAAAAAAGGTTCCCCACCCCTACCCTAGGTAGTCATGGACTGTCTCATAGTACAAATAAAATTTGGACCTAACCTATTTAGCCCTGTTACAATGCACCTGAATCACTTCAGTTCGATGGTACATACTTGAAAAAGATAGCAGAAATTCACTGGAGGAAAGGAAAGAAATTTGGGAAGTTCACCTGGCCCTGAGTATATAAATAAGCTGCTAGCAAAGTGAGACACATTTGAAAACTACTATATCAATTATTTTCCAAATTATTCGGCATCATTTTTAGCAGGACTTTACTGATTAGGCAGGCAAAGATTTCAATATCCACTCTAGAGGCTAACCAAAATATTATAACTAGTAGTATGTCATGAATATTTGGTTATGAGGAAAAAACTATTCAGCATGCGATTGAATGAGAAACCTGTTAGGTATCTGACATTCCATCCTTACATCTACTGATTTTACCAACCACTTCCTTTCACAGTAGTCACAGTTCTTAAGATGAAAATTTCTCATTCCACATAGGACAAAAGCCTATTTAGGAAGCCACTCATGAAAGACCAGATATTATATGAATTCATTTATAGTAAATGACCAGAAGGCAAATCATAGAGATTGAAAGTAGATTCATGGTTGCTTGGGGCTGGGAGGCATTGGGAGAAAATGAAATATGAATGCTTAAAAGGTAGAGGGTTTCTTTTTGGGGTGATAACAATGTTCTCAAATTGACTGTAGCCATGGTTGCACAACTTGTGACTATATTATAAAACCACTGAATTATACCTTTTAAATGGCTGAATTGTAAGGTATGTGAATTATATTAGGAAGGGAAGACAGTCCCAAGAGAACATGAGGCTCTTACAAATCCAGTCATATCTGAAACAGCATACAAGCTGATATATAAGGAGCTGGTTTCTCACACACTATTTTGATTTGATTATCACCACTTTTAACCCCTGACTTAACATTTTTAACTAATTTCTAAATTATTTTAGGTTATCAGAAGATTTATAACTTTGTTCTCCTTAGAGATCATAGTCAGTGTTTCACAGAAAGACTAGGTTGGCAAAACAAAACTAAACAAAACAATAAAAACCCAATAAAAAATAATCACCTGCTTTGGGGCTATGCATTTTACCAGGCAGAATAGCAGAGCTGAGGTTCATTCCTAAAGGAAAAAATGCCATCAAATGTAAGGGCATCATGTCTCTTGCCTAAAGCACGTTTCTTTTTCAAATCTGCATAGATATTCCCTTTACATCTATACAGTTCAACATAAGCCATATTTACATACCTATAGAATTCAATAAAATCAATGTTCTCTACAAAGAAATGTTAAGCGTTCTGCAGATCAAAGAGCTAGCCAAATTTTCTTAAAACTAAAATTACTGTTTCTGAAAAGCACTATTCTGTATCTTCAGCCTCATAAAATTAAATTACTATTACTAAAAAAGTTCTACTCTGTATTAACATACCATGATGATGGAAAACTCAGCCTGCTACAAGTCAAAAGCTACAAAACAATTTCTTAAAAAATGACCTGAATTAAAAATATATATATTAGCTCCAAATATTTAGAACATATTGGACCAAATTTCTTTAAAGTCTACCTTTAACAAGAAATTTATTTTTACTAATTCACTAGTGTAATATGCAATAAAGAAAGACTTTGCATAAGTTAAACTGGCTAATTACAAGTAATCAGTTTTCCTCAGTGATTACTATTCCTCTACATAGGCAGGGTAATTAAATCACAAAAGGTATTTTTGGTGTGTCTTCAACTATTCTTACACTACATAACCAATTAGGGAAATTTTTACAGTTAAAGAGAACACAAGTAGCTTTACAGGAAGTTGAGTGTGTTAAATATACATATGTTTGTTATGAAAAAGAATTTCTGACACAAAAATTGCTCACTGCTCAGAGAAGCCTAGAGAAGTGATAAAACAAGACAGTTGATGTTAGATGGTACATAGGAGTCGGGTGGAGTGAGAAGTCATATATAAATTAAAAACTGGCAAGTATCTGTTGAAGCAGAGCCACTTTTTAGGGGGCATAAGAAAAAATTATGTCACCTTTTTAAATCGCTTTAGAGAAGCCAATTTGTTAAGAAATGAAGACCAAATTTTAAAAAAAAAGAAATGAAGACCATTTTATTACCATTAATGCTTCAAAATGCAGTAGTCACACTGATTCCAAAAGGATCCTAAATACTGTAGTGAAAAGAAGAGAAATCTAAAAAAAATAATTACAAAAACCCCACACACATTTTTTCCAAAGAAATGTGTTCAAAACAGTGACTCTTAAAGACAGAGAGAGATTCCACACAGAAGAGGAGGAGACAGTGTGATCACAGAGACAAAAGAGGGAGTGATGTGGTCACAAGCCAAGGGATGCTCAGAGGCATCAGAAGCTGCAAGGGCCAAGGAACAGATTCTCCCCTAGGGCGTTTGGCAGGGGTACAACCCTGCTGACACCTTGATTTTGGACTTCCAGGCTTCAAAACTGTGAGAGAATAAATTTCTGTTGTTTAAAAAAAAAACACACAAAACACAGTGACTCTTACAAAAGATGTCAATTTGTTGTAAATGAAAAAAAGAATTCTCACTATGAAAGATCAAGGGCTCCTTTCACAAATAATTTATACTGCATCAATAACTTGACATTCACTGCAGCACTATTTACAATCTATATATATAAAAGCCCAGCGACGGAATGATGGAACAACCAGACCGACCTGTCGACCAGTCACTGTGTTGTGCACTGACCACCAGGGGGCAGATGCTCAATGCAGGAGCTGCCCCCTGGTGGTCAGTGTGCTCCCACAGTGGGAGTGCTGTTTGGCTAACTGGGATGACTGGCTCCTGACCCCACCAGCTGATGCAGGCCCTCTAAGGTGTGTTCTAGAAAGAGCGTGGGGAGCTGGCATAGGCGCATGGCAAGAGGGACATGACTGTGGACCCCCCAGGGAGGCTATCCTGATGGCTGAGGATCCTGGAGCACAGCTGCCCTGAACTCCCCGATGGTGTCACCTACCTGGCATCACACATCAAGGACATTCACCGAGTGGCTTTGGGGTGCAAAGCTCTCAGCCAGGTTCCTCCAGGACATAGAACACACCTTTACCCAAGACATTACCCCGAAATATCAGCTCAGAGAGCGGGTCCACAGCCACTCAGCTGACCGAGATGAGTGGCGCTACCATAGTGGGCCGATTCCGCAGGCTACTCCCCCCACCAGTGCATAAATCCGTGTACCCGGCCTTTAGTAGCCAAGATGTGGAAACAGCCCAAATGCCCATCAGTAGATGAGTGGATAAAAAAGCTATGGTTCATTTACAAATGGATTACTAGTTGGTAGTAAAAAGAAGGAAATCTTGCCTTTTGTGACAGCATAGATAGACGTGGAGAGTATTATGCTAAGTAAAATAAGCCAGTCAGAGAAAGACAAGTACCATATTATTTCACTTATATGTGCAATTTAATGAACAAAATAAACTAAGAACCAAAATAGAAACAAACTCATAGATACAGAGAACAAATTGACAGCTGTCAGAGGGGAGGGAGGTTGGAGGGCTAGGTGAAAAAGGTGAAAGGATTAAACAAAAAGAAAACTCAAAGACACAGACAACAGTATGGTGATTACCAGAGGGTGAGTGGGGTGAGGGAAGATAGAAGAGGGTAAAAAGGGTATAAATGGTAATGGAAAGAGACTTGACTTGGGGTGGTGAACACACAATACAATATACAGATGATACATTATAAAATTGTACACCTGAAACTTATATAATTTTTATTAACCAATGTCACCCCAATAAATTCAATTAAAAAAATAAATAAATCTTGAAATTCTCCAAAAAAAATAATTTGATAACAGTGTACAAACAAGGGCCACAGACTTGTTTTAGTTAGATCTAAAAGATCAATATAAATACTTATGGGGGGAGTGTTTTATACTCCAAACTCCAATATTCCAACTCTGTGTCCCGTACTGTTATGATTTGTAAAAATCTTAACGACGCAGGGATTCAAGTTTTCGTAACTTCAACGATGTGTTAGAGGACAATGCATCTTGATTTGAAGAATTTGTTGTATCTGAAGGCCGAAACAGTACTCTACCACGATGATTAAATACATAAAATGATGGGTGATTCCTTAATGTGTCAAATGTCCTTAAAAGAAAAAAAAAGCAGCAATTTTAGATAAATCCTTATAAGAAGCCCATTTAAAAATAAGCAGGCTTCTGGTGAATTTGCTACTGGTTATATTTAAAACTATGTTTAAATTCATGAAACCAGATTATAAATGGTAATCATACTGTATCTCATTTCTTTCTTGTACAAGGAAAATAAAAAACCTGGAAAAGCAATATATAACCATATAATTTTTCATTCAGCCAGTCCTTCCAGTATGCCTATGAATAACATAAGTAGTTACTCAACTTTAATCACCTCTGTAGATATAACATAAGCCCATGCCAAATAGTCTTTTTCAAAAACCAGTACAGAGATTGTACCTTTGATTAGCCTCATTTGGCCATCACTATCCAAGTCCTATGATCATCTGAAAGACCTGTTTTCTAAACATAGTTCAAAGATAACAAAAAAATTCCTTAAATTTCTTTGGTCTTTCTGAGCCTGCTGTTGTCGAAATTCATATATTTACCACCTAATAAAATCATATTTTGCTACCACCTACTTAATGCCTTTCTGTTTTACTTCTTTTTTAAAAAATATATTCTTATTGACTTCAGAGAGGAAAGCAGAGAGAGAGAAACAATGATGAGAATCACTGATCGGTTGCCTCCCGCATGCCCCCCACTGGGGATTGAGCCCAAAATCTGGGCATGTGTCCTTGACCGGAATCGAACCCAGAACCCTTCAGTCTGCAAGCCGATGTTCCATCCACAGAGCCAAACCAGCCAGGGCTACTTCTTTCTTTCCTGGCCTTTGCCAGTGATTCTTAGTAGACTCTTTGTAAGAACAGTAGTGGGTAATTACAGTGGCGTATCTTTTCTTCTTCTCCAATGAGAGATATGTGGTCTAATAAAGTTCATAATCACCTAAGTGTATGGCTTTTAGTGTTGGTTTGTTTCTAAAACAGGAATCCTGAGATGTGACTATTTAAAATGTAAATAAAAAGAGGTTGATTTTCCTCTAACACATAAACGTTTATTGTGAATCCTCACAAGAAAATATTATAAAAGGTTAAATTTTCCAGAATAAAGAAGTGGGTAAAGTTCAGAGACGGAAATGAACAAAGCTAAAGGATGATTTTATAAAAGAAATATTGCCCTGGCTGGTGTGGCTCAGTTGGTTGGGCATTATCCCATGCACTGAAAGATTGCCAGTTCAATTCCCCTTCAGGGCACATTCCCAGGTTGCAGGTGGGGACATGCAGGAGGCAGCTGATCAATGTTTCACTTTCACATCGGTGTTTCTCTCTACCCTCCTTTCATCTCGCTCTAAAAATCAATAAAAAGTCTTTTAAAAAGAAATATTGACAAGAAAAGCAAGCAAAGTTCGCGAAAATAGCTTAGAAGAAGTACAGGAGAAAAAAGAAAGCAGAATAATAAATATACTTTAATCCAGGGGTAAAAAAGGGCCTGAGAACAGAGTTTATTTCACAGATAGGTTCAAGTAATAAAGGAAACAGAAAATCCCTTATTCTTCCAAAGATAGAGCTGAGTCAGAGGACAAAAGAGGAAAATAGGAAGGAAGGAGAGGAAAGCAAAGAGAAGGAAAGAGACAGAAGGAAGGAAAAAAAATTCTGAGGGAATATCTTCCTATATATCTATTTCTATCCACCTATCTATCCAAACAACCAATAAGTAATTTTAGGCAAACACAACATCTTATTCTAATATCAACAGTCTGTCATTCAACTTCCATTTTTCCTATCATATCAAACAGTGCCTCAATATTTTTATTTCATTACACAGACATATTGTATAATCAAAATGTAAAAACCAACTTTTAAGTACCAGAACACATACATTTATGTAAATGGAGCAAAATTCTTAAGAAATTAAATGCTTACTAAAAGGGGAAAACTTACTTATTTTTTAGTTCTGAAGTGGCATCCATGTCTTTAAACTCCCCTGCAATATGAACTATACCATAACAGGTAACCGCAAAGGCCAGAAGTGTCTGAAGAACTATCTGTGAGCAAAAAGATTAAAGATTACTAAATACAAGTATTATTATAAACCTTTACAATTTTATCTCCATAAAATTTTAGCTTCAAACAGGTATTTCTCTCAGATCGTATCAAGGAGTCAATTCTCAGTTTAAAGATTTTGACTTAAACACTATAAAATCTGTAAATTCTGTGGATTGGCTACAAAAATACTTGTGGGTTTTGCTCAAATAGCAAAAACAGGTACTGAGCCCTAGCCAGCTTGGCTCAGTGGATAGAGCGTTGGACTGTGGACTGAAGGGTCCTGGGTTAGAGTCTGGTCAAGGGCACATGCCTGGGTTGCAGGCTTGATCCCCAGTAGGGGGCGTGCAGGAGGCAGCTAATCGGGGGTCTCTCTCATCATTGATTATTCTCTCTCTCCCTCTCCTTTCCTCTCTGAAATCAATAAAAATATATTTTAAAAAACAGGTACTGAGCCCTAGCTGGTTTGGCTCAGTGGATAGAGCATCGGCCTGCGGACTGAAGGGTCCCAGGTTCGATTCCAGTCAAGGGCATGTACCTTGGTTGCGGGCACATCCCCAGTTGGGGGTGTGCAGGAGGCAGCTGATTGATGTTTCCCTTTCATCAATGTTTCTAACTCTCTATCCCTCTCCCTTCCTCTCTGTAAAAATCAATAAAATATATATTTAAAAAAAAAAAGCAGGTACTGAGCCATTCAAAACTCAGATTATCAACTACTATTTGCTTCCAAAAGCAACTAAGAATTTTTAATGTATTACTGTTAAATATCATCCTATATAGTAAAAGGCTAATATGCAAATCAACCAAATGCGGAACAACCGGTCGCTATGATGCACACACTCCACCAGGGGGCAAACGCTCAAGACAGGAGCTGCCCCCTGGTGGTCAGTGCACTCCCACGGGGGGAGCACAGTTCAGCCAGAAGCCAGGCTCACAGCTGGCGAGCGCAGTGGTGGTGGCAGGAGCCTCTCCCACCTCCGTGGCAACGCTAAGGACCACTCAGGGGAGTGGGCCTAAGCCGGCAGGCTGACATCCCCCGAGGGGTCCCAGACTATGAGAGGGCACAGGCCAGGCTGAGGGACTCCACCCCAGTGCACGAATGTTGTGCACCGGGCCTCTAGTCTACACTAATAAAAGAGAAACATGCAATTTAAACATCACTCCGCCACGCCGCTACACCCACAAGCCACACCCACCAGCCAATCAGGAGCGAGTATGCAAATTAACCCAACTAAGATGGTGGAGGCCAGAGCTGGAGTGAACAGGAGGCTTGGGTTGCCCCCGGCGATGGAGGAAGCCAAGCTTCCTGCCTGCCCTGGCCAGCCCTGGGCTCTGCTCAAGGCTACCAAGTTTCAATTATAGAAGATAAATAAATCCCAGGTACCTGCTTCCAGCCCGCCCTGGCCTCTGCTCAAGGAGGGGCTGAAAAAAAAAAGAAAAAAAGGAGAGGCTGGGAGCTTGGGTCACCGGGGGCGTGGCCAGCCTGAAAACGGCCATCAGCCCCTCATCCAGGCTGGCCAGGCACCCCAGCGGGACGCCCCCACCCTGAAGGGGCTGTGGCAGCCTGAAAACGGCCCTCAGCCCCTCACCCAGGCTGGCCACACCCCATGGGGTGAGGGTCCCCGCTGTGGGGCTTGGCCAGCCTGCAAAGAGCCATTAACCCCTCACTCAGGCTGGCCAAGCACCCCAGTGGGGACCCCCACCCTGAAGGGGGTGTGGCCAGCCTGAAAACGGCCCTCAGCCCCTCACCCAGGCTGGCCAGGCACCTCAGCAGGACCCCCCCACACACACACCCTGAAGGGGCAATGGGTCAGCCTGCAAACAGCCATCAGCCCCTCACCCAGACTGGCCAGGCACTGCAGCGGGATCCCCACCCTGATCCAGGACAACCTTCAGGGCAAACCAGCCGGCCCCACCCGTGCACCAGGCCTCTATTCTATATAATAAAAGGGTAATATGCAGGTTGACCCTAACAGCAGAACGACTGAGAATGACTGGTCACTATGACACACACTGACCACCAGGGGGCAGATGCTCAATGCAGGAGCTGCCCCCTGGTGGTCAGTGTGCTCCCACAGGGGGAGCTCTGCTCAGCCACAAGCCAGGCTGACGGCTGCCAGTACAGCGGTGGTGGCGTGAGCCTCTCCCGCCTCCTCAGCAGCACTAAGGATGTCTGACTGCAGCTTGGCCTGCTCCCTGCTGGCAAGTGGACATCCCCCGAGGGTTCCCGGGCTGCCAGAGGGATGTCTGACTACCAGCTTAGGCCCGATCCCCTGGGGAGCGTGCCTAAGCCAGCAGGTGGACATCCCCCAAGGGGTCCCCTACTGTGAGAGGGCACAGGCCGGGCTGAGGGACCTCCCTCGAGTGCACCGGGCCTTTAGTAGAGTATAAAAAGAATACTCTTATCTCTCTCTCCCTCTCCCTTCCTCTCTAAAATCAATAAAAGAAACATATTTTTTTAAAAAAAGAACACTCTTACCCTCCACCCAGCTTAAGAAACAGAATATTACTAATACCTTTCAAGTCCCATGTGTCCCTCTGCAATTATATTCTTCACCCTCTCTCTCAAAGTTAACTACTGTCCCAAATTGTATATTAATCTGTTCTTTGCTTTTCTTCATAATTTTACCAGCTGTGTGTGTGTACCTCTAAAACATATATTGCTTATTTTTCCACACTTTGAAAAACTTTTGGTGAGATTCATCCTTTTTGTTGTCCATTCATTTTCACTGTGTTTTGTATTCCATTATATGAAAACTAGTGGACCGGTGCATGGATTTGTGCACATTGAAAGAAATTAATTAGAAGAAATATTTTAATATCACTAGTCACCCTTTCTCCATAATAGAAGTCAACCAAATTCACAATCGACAATGACAGATCAAAACACGTGTGTGATTGGCGCCAGCAAGAGCTTTAGATGTATTGCACATGCACGAGTCAATTTAGCCTTTTATATATAGAATAAACTTGCTTAATTAGACCTGCTTTCTGATTTAGCTAAACTTTTTCCAGCCCAGTGAAGCACCCCAACTTCTTTCAGGTACTGTCAGCAACACAGCGTAAATATCAACACGAAGCAGATTATTATTGTAGATCATGCAGGGAGAACAAAATGTAAAGTATTATAACTGCAGCAGTATTTGACTATATTCTGCACAGTGAGAGAACCTGAAATCATTTTCAAGGTCCACCATTTCTTACTTCTTTTCAGTCAGGTCAAGTGTCTAAACTTTCTAAATCTCCGTTTTCCAGCTAATGAAAATAGGATTCTACCGAGTCTCCTATCTACCTACTCCAGGACTTCTGTGAGGATCAAATGAAATCAGACATGGGAAAACGCTTCACAGACATTCGGTTAAAGTATAAAATGTTTGCAGCTGGCTATAAAGCAAGTCATGTTTCTGGGCTGAAGTAACTCCAAGGAGGCTAGTCGCTAGGGAGAGGAAGCCGGGCATTGCTACATGACGTCATTACCCAGCACCCACAGCCACTGTTTCCAGGCTGGGCTGGGCTGGGCTGTGCGCTGCATTTTTCTCCATGGAGTCTTGGCAGCGTCGGCTGCAATTTGGTGGGCTTTTGCTCCGGGGTGGTGGCAGGGCCTTGTCCCACTTGGAGGAAGCCGAGTGTTGCTTTGTGGGCACCAGGTCTGTGGTGCTGTTTCTCTGTAAATGGCTAGTGCATGTCACGGCAGCTCCTGAATTAAGCGTCTGCCCCCCTGGTGGTCAGTTCACGTCATAGCGACCGGTCAGACAGTTGGGCACTTAGCATATTAGCATATATATATATATATATATATATATATAACACAATTTATCCATTTCACTTTTGATGGTTATGTAGGCTGTTTCCTGTGTGTTACTTTTACAATGTCAATATGGATATCCTTGTGTATATCTCCTGGTGCATGGGACTAGAATCACTGGTGTAGCGTGTACACATATTCTGCTGTATTACGTAGCATTAAACTGCTTTCCAAACAAGTTGTACAAGCAAAAATTTGCATGCTTGACATTAACTGGCATGAATTTATAGGCATATTTTATTTTCTTGATTGCGATTCCATCTATTTCAAAAAATTTCCAATTTGTAAATAGAAGAAAGTTATTAAAATAGACATAAATGAATGTGTGTTCATCTATCACAAAGCAAAAGTGATAGGAGAACAAGTTAATAGCCACATCTACCATATCCTTAATCACAGACAACTAAAGGCAAAATTAGCCACAAGCTATTACTCTATCTAAATTAAAACCTAATGTCATATGTTATACCAGTTTACATTCCTACCACCAGTGTACCACAATCATTTTCATGCAATGCAATCATAGGCACTATTAACAAGAATGTGGTAAATCTGTAAGTAGTCACGAAAATATGTCAAGATAAATTAAGTAATAAAAATCTAATTATAAAACTATACATAGTCCAGTGGTATGGCTCAGTGGTTAAGCATAGACCCACGCAACAAGAAGTGTTGATTCCCACATGACTGGGTTTATGGCTTGATCCCTGGTAGGGCAGCCAATCAATAATCTCTCTCGTTAATATTTATATATCTCTCTCCCTTCCCTTCCTCTCTCTCCAAAAAAATCAATAAAAATACGTTTTTAAAAACAAACAAGAAACTACACACACACACACACACACACACACACACACACACACACACACACATTCATGCATAATAACTTTTTAAAAGAAAACTTCTGTGTTTTTATTAGCGAAAACTATACAGACATAAATAAAGATAAGATTGTTTAGTCAGAGGAAGAAAACTGTACTGTACCATATAAACTATTCATAATAGAAGTAGAAATGCTGAGCAATGGAGTCAGTTTTTTTTTAATAGGGTCTGTTTTACTTTTTACACTTATGGTTTGATTCTGTTATAATGAACTTACTATTTTGTCATTTAAAACCCAATAAAGATAAAAATTGTGTGTGAAGTTCACATATCATTTTAGCTTCAAAGAACACTCCCTTGTTTTTCTTTAATTTTACCTCCTATGTATATGTTCCTAAACAATGTTTTGTTAGTTTTGCTTGTTCTTAAACTTTATATAAAAAGAAAATTAAAAAACAACAACAACGAAGTCAAAGCCCTGGTGGAGTGGCTCAGTTGGTTGGAGCATCGTCTGGTACACCAAAAGGTTGCAGGTTCCATTCCCAGTCAGGACACATATCTAGGTTGCAGGTTCAATCCCTGGTGGGTGGTACCAGACACACTGATTGATGTTTCTTTCTTCTCTCTCTTTCTCTCTCTCCCCCTTCCTCTCTCTCTCTAAAATCAATGAAAACATATTCTGTGGTAAAGATTTTTAAAATGAAGTCAAACATTCAACTTTTCAAGTGCATCTCTGACTATGGAAGAGCAACTTCTATAAAGACTATTTAAAATCTAGTTCTAGAAACCAAACAGAATGTGTAAAAAATAGAGAACAGATGTAATTTCATGTCTGAAAATTTTTAATGTAAGAAAAATCAGTAAAAATACTACTATAAAGCACATGGTTAATTTTTAAAATCTCTGTTAATAGAATATAAATGACCAACTTACATCTATTGGCAGTGATTCATCTTCCTTTTCCATTAATCGCATATAAGAACGATCTATAAAACCAGAAGCACACCATTAAGAAAATTTTAGCTAATATTTCTTCCTTAAAATGCAAGCAAATCAATATACCAAAGAAGCACCTTATTTATATGCTACATAAAGTAATGCTAATCCTGGATTCCTCAAAAACTTCTGTCTTTTAAGGTAATCAGCCTGATCTTGAGCTATTTAATTCTTATCATAATCTGCTTTGTACCCTCATAAAATGAGGTAAGAGTGAAAGGAGTAGAACTTGTATGCATATATGCATAACCCCTAGACACAAACAATAGAGTGGTGAAGGCCTGAGGTGGGGGTGGGCTAGAAGAGGTCAAGGGGGGGGAGAGACATATGTAATACTTTCAACAATAAACATTTAAGAGTTTTATAGTTTTTAAAAGAGTGAAAAGTTGGAGCTCCAATGGCGCAATCGGTTAGCGCGCAGTACTTATAAGAGTGAAAAGTAAGCAAGTATGAGGAAGAAACACTTATACATAATTTTTCTTTCATTACCACAAGACAACTAGAATTCTCTGAAACTAACCATTTCTTTTACTAACTGGTCAAAGAAATCACAATTATTTATTTTTATTTTTTTAAAATATATTTTATTGATTTTTTACAGAGAGGAAGGGAGAGAGATAGAGAGTTAGAAACATCGATGAGGGAGAAACATCGATCAGCTGCCTCCTGCACACTCCCTACTGGGTATGTGCCCGCAACAAAGGCACATGCCCTTGACCAGAATCAAACCTGGGACCCTTGAGTCCGCAGGCCGACGCTCTATCCACTGAGCCAAACCGGTTAGGGCAATCACAATTATTTTAAAATTAATAAGCTTACAGAAATCTCCACTCTGATATAACATCACCATCATATTGAATTGGTAGGGAAATGTTTTTTCTGAGAGAATATGCTGAGGCAGTGAGTGGTGGGATAGGAAAAAAATCCAGGACATAAATTTCTGCCTCTGTTATCTATATATATATAAAAGCCTGTGACCAAACAACCAAACGACTGGTCAACCGGTTGCTATAATGCACACTGATCAGATGGTTGCTATAATGCACACTGATCTCCAGCGGGCAGATGCTCAATGCAGGAGCTGCCCCCTGGTGGTCAGTGTACTCCCACAGCAGGGGCGCCACTCAGCTGATCAATGGGCACCAGACAGAGGGCTCACGGCTGGTGGCACGAGCCTCTCCCGATCAGGACTGACTGGGCACAAGCCTGCAGCAGGCACAGCAGGCCTGGGATGAGCGGGAGCGGCACAGCACCCTGTCTGGGCTCGGGCTCCTCCCCATCTGCCTGCCACTTCCTGCACTACTTCGTGCTGTGCAGGATCAACACAGACAGTGGGCTGGAGCCCAATGAGCTGGCAGTTAAGGCTGGGCTGCAGTGGCATGGAGGTCCACTGATCCCCGCAGGCCAGGGCGAAGGACCCCACCAGTGCACAAATCTGTGCACCGGGCCTCTAATAAAAATATAAAATCCTGATTCTATATGAACCTTGCACAATCCCTATTTAATAATCTATACTAATAAAAGGGCAATATGCTAATTAGACTGGGAGACCTTCCGGACAAAGCCATGGTGGTGGGGCCGAGGTAGAGGCAGTTAGGGGTGATCAGGCCAAGAGGGGAGGGCAGTTGGGGGTGATCAGGCTGGCAAAGGGGCACAGTTGGGGGCAAGAAGGCCGGTAGGTGGGGCAGTTGGGGGGTGAGCAGGCCGGCAGGCAGAGTGGTTAGGGCAATCAGGCAGGCAGGCAGGTGAGCGGTTGGGAGCCAGGAGTCCCAGATTGGAGAGGGTGCAGGCCAGGCTGAGGGACACCCCCCCACACACACGATTTTCGTGCAACGGGCCACTAGTGTATTATAAACAAAAGAAACCAAATAGTTGTGAGTAAATGTGATTGGCTCTTAAAAAAGAATTTGTTTAGAGACATTTCCAGAGTTTTTTCTTATAGGGTTTATCATAAGGACAAATGTGAAAGAAAAATCAAACCAATACCAAAAGTAGGTTTTGCCTAACTTCCTACTCTCTGTTCAGATCCCAGCTAGCTTCTTCATTGCTTGAAGTCTAATCTGACTCTCTACTACTACCTTTAACCAGGCACTTCCACATCTGTAAAACTAAGGGGCTGAACATTAATGATCTTGCTCTGAGTCTAGGACAGTGATGGCGAACCTTTTGAGCTTGGCGTATCAGCATTTTGAAAAACCCTAACTTAACTCTGGTGCTGTGTCACAAATAGAAATTTTTTGATATTTGCAACCATAGTAAATCAAAGGCTTATATTTTTGATATTTATTTTACATATTTAAATGCCATTTAACAAAGAAAAATCAACCCAAAAAATGAGTTCGCGTATCACCTCTAACATGCATGTCATAGGTTCACCATCACTGGTCTAGGACCTTAAAATTTTACAGCTGAAGCCCATGGTAGAAAATGCTGCAGCACTCCACAGAATCCTCCCCTCCCCTAGGGCACTGCTTCTCAAAGGAATGTGCATGCAAATCACCAGGAGATCTGACTGAAATGCAGATTTAGTTTCAGTAGATCTGGAGCAGGCATTTCTAACTAGCTCCCAAGTGATTAAAATCATGCTGGTTTGTTGACCACACTTAAGCCAACAAGGCTCTAGAATTGCCTCAACTCCAAGTACCTTTACATATTTTTAGCATGGCATTTATATCACTTTATTGTGATTATTTCTTGATCCATTTGTTTCTCCATTTGCCATTGAACTCCCTCAGGGCATCACTTGCTGTACCTCTAACACAGGGGTGAGGAACATTTGGCCTGTGGCCCATAAAAGGCCTTCAAAATAATTTGGTCTGTCCCTGCCAAGGCATTGGGGGTGAGTTAATTAAATGTTTAACCAAATATAGCAGGTTAATTGTTAAGTTGATAATTTCATATGGCCCTCGAATGATGTTATAAATTTCCAAATGGCCCTTGGCAGAAAAAAGGTCCCCCACCCCTGCTCTAGCACCTAAGTATGATGCAATTTCAACCAATTCCCAGAGACTGAATTTCATAAAGTAGTGTAGCACATATGCTCTAGTCAAACTCCTTGTCTTTAAATCCTTGACCCAAATTGTACTTTCTTATCTGTACTTTTATGCAAGTTTCCTAGGTGTCTGTCTCAATTTCTTAATCTTTCAAAGATGATAGCAACAATAATAGCTACCTCACAGGGCTTTTGGTAGGACTGAATTATATAATACAAGTAAAATGCTTAGTTCAGTTCCTGGCACTTGATAAGCTCTTAATAATGTTAGTTATTATTATTGTCATTAAAGCTTGGAGCACAGAACAGAGGAGACTGGGGAAACATGACAAATAAATATAACGTGATACCCTGGATTAATTCCTAGAACAGAAAGAGGACATTAATGTCAAAACTGGTAAAATGCAAATAAAAGCTAGATTTCAGTTAATAGTAATAATACCAATGTCAGTTTTTCAGTTGTGACAATATACCGGGTAATATAAGATGTTACCAATGGTGGAAACTAAGTGAGGTGTATAAAGTCATTCTCTGTAGTATTTTTGCAACTTTTCTGTAAATCTAAAACTTCTAAATAAAAATTTATTTAACAAATAATTTGCATTTCCTTCAGACAATGTCACAATACATGTATGCAATCAATAGTTAAAATAATTGGATAATTTAAATTATATATAATGAACAGCACTAAAGGTTTTTAACTTGACCTAAAAAAATGGAGCTTTGAAGGAATTCACATTTCATTTTCTACTTTATTCCTAAATAAAGAAAGCAATCCAGCAAACAAGAAAAGAAGTTCAAGTTTGAATTCATTTACTTCATTCAACAGATTTATTGAGTACATACTGTGCTAGCCACTTAAATTACAGCAAAGAACACAAAATAAACATTGCCCCTGCACTCATGGGCTCTATAGGCTAGGACTGAGGTCAGCTAACTTTACCTGTAAAGGGTCAGAAAATAAATATTTTAGGATTTGCAAGCCATTCTGTTTTTATCACAAACTCAACTCTGCCCTTAGAAAGCAGCCAGACAATACCTAGATGAATGGGTGTGGCAGTGTGCCAATAAAACTTCATTAATGGACATTGGAACTTCGATTTTATATAACTGTCATGGATCATAAAATGATGATTCTTTTGCTTTTCCACCCCAACAAATTAAAAAATGGAAAAACATTATTAGCTCACTACGAAAACAGGAGGGAAGCTGCATTTGGCCTACAAGCCAGAGTTTGCTGACCCTTGGCCTGGAAGGGAAGACATCAAAACAGATCAACTGTTTCAAGATTGAACAGCATTCTCTGCTGGATTCCAAGTTTCTTCTTGATGATACCATTTTATCTGTATGATAAAGTACTTCAACTCTTTTTTCATTTAAACTTTCTATGTCACTCTCTGTGACATGTCTCACCCAAGGTCACAGATTTAGCAGCAAAGCAGGTCTTTAAGAACCTGCCCTCCTGACTCCCGGTCCAGTGCTCTTTCTCCTGTACTAGTCCCTACCTGAGGCAAAGGGTCACTTAACTTCTCAGTCACTGCCTGAACTACCCAAGATGCTGTCCACCTAGCTGTCATAGGACCATGAGCATCCGAGGTCCTCCATCTGACACTTTGCATGATCAGCCCAGCGCTGGATCTGACATCACCTGTCCTGGATTCTCAGACTCCCTCTTTGCATGCCATGCAGAGCACCTGTCAAGCTCTGAGCCCTCTCCCAGACACCCACTTCGAACGTTGCTTCAATCTTCCACTGGGGAGCCCCGCACTGTTTCTTGTAATCACCCCAAACTCAAAGGTCTCTAATGACCCTTCCTGGGACATTCGGTCTGACACTCCCTCTGTGGTGCGCCCGTACACCGCCCTCCGAAGTCCCGCACCGGAACGGTCTGTGTCTCGCAGGCACTTACGCTGAGCAGCAGAAAAGGCCGCGTGTGCTAGGGCAAAGAGGCCAATGCCTACCAGCCCCTTCCACAGTGACAGCGCCATTATTCCAGATGAGCAGCAGCCCGAGGAAAGCAGCGAAGGGCGGCAAAGCAGTTCCCTCTCCCAACGGTGGTTGTCCACGCAGCGCAGAAAAATGACGTCACTGGACCACTGGGCGCGAAGTGTCTCGCAGAGGTGGGAAAACTAAAGAGCCTTCAGAAAGCGGAAACAGAAATGCCGGGAAGGAGGGGAAAGCACGGGAGTGGGGGCGAGGCTGGAGGAGGTCCGCCAGTGAGACGGCCTGCATAGGACCGCCTCTCTGAGAGGGGAGGAGCGGCTGGGAGGAAGGGGGCGTAAAAGGAGAGGCAAAAGTGGACCAATGGGAAAGCTGAGAGGAAGCTGAGCGCTGACAAGGGGCAAGGGGCGGGGCCTATGGAGAGGCGGCTTGTGGGCTATAGAGAGGCCCGGGTGCGGCAGAGGGGCGGGGCCTGGAGGCTGTGGTTAAAGCCTTTCAGTGCTGGGTTTCTATCCCTGGCAGGGGATTTTCAGTTTGTTTGCTTGTTTTGTTTGTTGCTTTTCCCTCAAGCTGTGTCCTTTGTGTGTGTGTTGGCTTTTCCTATGCTTCAGCCTTTTGCAGACTGGCACTATGGGAGGAGGCAAGAGTGTGAAAGCGAGGAGGCCGGTGGGGTGCAAAGGAAAACATCCAGGATATTTGGAGCCCAAGACACAAGGCACCCTCGGGGCAAAGTTAGTCCCCCTTTTCCTTAGCATCAAAAGGTCTTTAAGAATGATTCCCGCGCAAATTGGTAGCACAGCCGGAGTGTTTTGTCATGAAGAGAACGAGTTTACATAAGGGATAAATGAAAGGGGAGGAATATATGGATGCTAATAAGGCAGGCCCATCTTGTCTCTATCTCCCTCTGTCTGTCTCTCTCTCATCAAAATAAAATGCACTCTCCTTTCGCGATTTAATCTTTGTCTTTATTCCCCAAAATGTAGATATTCAATAGTGAGCTGTTTTCACTCTGCTCTTCTTTGGCGAGCTTACCTAATTCATTCCCTCTGCTTCAGCTTTCAGACATATTACTGCGATTTCAAATTGACGTCTCTATCTCAAATGTATCCCCCCAGCTCCAGACCTGCATTTCCGTCTACCTGTTGGTCATTTAACTCTTTCCTCTGGCACTTTGAACTTAATATGGCCAAAACCGAATTCATCTTTTTTACCAAACTGCACCAGTATCCCCTGATTGTTGTAAACTGCATATCACAAGGTAAATGCATAGTGTGGTCAACATTCATTCTCCTCAACCCAGTTTAGCTTGAAAATGCCTATCCTGACCACCTCTTTTAAATTTGCAATCTTCCCATTCCCAATCTCCTCACATACTCTATGATTTACCTATCTATAATAATAAAAAGCATAATATGCTAATTAGACCAGACAGCTGGACAACCTTCTGGACCAGGCCCTGGCTGTGAGGGCCAAGCCCCTTGAACAAATTTTGTGCATTGGGCCTCTAGTTTATTATATTCGTTGTGTTATTATTGTTTACTATATACCTCTGGACTGTAAGTTCCAAGAGGACAAAGATTTCTGTCTGTATCTAGAACATTGCCTGTCAAGTTGTAAGCATTCAAATAAAAGTTTGCTAAATGAATAAATTATAGGAAAGAATCAGGGAGGGATACACCCTTATTTGAAAGGATCTCTGTAGAGAGTCCTTCCATTACTTTGAATTGGGTTAAATAAAAAATCTCTGTGAACTTATACACTCTCTTAAATTTTGATAATCATTTGATTATTAATTAACATTTTCTGATATACTTGAGCTTTTTCAAGATGGGAAAGCTAAAAAATAAAAGAAAGTCTCCAAGAATTATCAGATTTCCTTAACTTGACCTACATATATTTTTGTTCTGGGTCTCATTGTCCAAGCCTTTAATTATGGTCCTTATTTTTCTCTGGGAACTCTCCAATTTCTTCACCTCTAAACCAAGATTTGACACAGTACTTGATCAATATCAAGTACAGTATAATGTATTCCTTACAAGTGCAGTTCTATTTATAAAACTCGCAATCAGGGAGAACCAGGAAGTAATCTGTCTGTACAAAACAGGGAAGTATTTCCTTCTCCACCCAGGAAGGTTACAAGATAGTAAAAATAGTTAACAAAAAAAATTTCTTAAAATTTTGTGTTGGCTTTGATGATGGTCAAATTGAAGTTAGCCTTCTCAGATACCCTATTAAATTGCCTTTTCTAATATTAATTTATCTGAAGCAGAAAATGATTTATAAATTTTCTTAAAGGAGTTGAGATCTTGTTTCTTTCTTTTAAAAGGATGAGATTAATTTTTTTTAAAAAAAGAAAGAGCCAGTAAGGGATTTGATTTTTTGTATAAGCCACTGATATATTATCCTAGTCTTCAGGGAAGTGACATGTGTCCAGGCATTAAATTTTATTTTCTCCATTACCTTCTTAAAATGCATTCCCTACTCTCTTCCTTTGAATCTCTTACCCATGTACTGAGAATAAAAGAAACTAGGCTAGTTTCACATTTTTCCAGAAATAAGTGGTTAACTCATATTCATGGAGTGAGATTTTAATTGTCTTATCTGTGGATTCCAACCTGAAGGGAAGCCAAGGTATTCATTGTTACAGTTACCACAGACCGTATCATTCAAATAAGTACTTTGGATCCACTCATACATTGGTTGAAGTTAATCCCAAAGGTGCAAGGTACATCTAGTGGCAGAACTTTTTACATGGGTTCTTAGAACAAGAATCAAACCTCATGAGAAAGAGCATTTAAATTCCTAGGTGATCCCAGAAGTGCCTTTAGTTTTACCAAAGAAACAGACATTTTCCATATGCACAGTGCATAAGTGGTGTGGATGTTATTAAGGGTGGGGATAACCATCTTTAAAGCGTTTCCTACAGAGATTTATGAAGACTCATCTCCTTTCCCTAGGATAGTTTGTTGAATAGAGAAACCACTGCAATGCTAGAATTGTCGAGTTAATTAACTTTGTTGCATGCCAACTAACTAGACGAGTAACTTCATATACCACTCATCCAAGTCTCCATTTCCCACACATATTCTCCCTCCATTTAGCACACTCTGTCCTTTCCTAAGTGGTTAAAAACTCCACTTTCCTAGAATACATTCCTGACTCTGATCAGTATCTATAAAAGGTTCATATCTATTATGGGTACTAAACATTTTTTCAAGCTATTGCTATTTATTACAACTTCCCTGGGTAACAAATTGTAGAATTTAACTACCTTCTGTATAAACTAGTGTTTTCGATATTTATGTTGAAATTGCATAGTTAATATGTTTTCTTTACAAAAGTGATGTGTGCTCAGTGTAAAAAATTCAAATGACAAAACAATGTATTCCTCTTAAATCATTAAGTTGTGCCTTGGTATTTTAAGTTTTGAATCTTAGTAAATAAAACTGTGATTAATTGATTCATGTCTTTAAGATTTGTTTGCTGGAAGGTCCATACTACTATGGTTAAAAGCATATGCTCTAGAATCAGATTGGATTTGAATCCTGGATTCTCCTTTACTACGTATAAGAGATTGGACAAGTTATTTAACTTCACTGTGCCTCAATTTCCCCATATGTAAAATGGGGATAATAACAGTACTTACCTGATAAAATTGTTGTCAGGATTGAGATGATACATATAAACTGTTTAGAATAATCTCGTATGTAGTGAGCACTCAGTAAATGTTAACCATCATTATTATTGCTGTCACTGCTGTTGACTCTTCCAGCTGTTTTTCCAGACTGAAGAGTTTATTCCTTTCGTCTTTCTTAAAAGATCAGTTCCTTTTTCGCTTTGATTATTTTAATTGCTCTCGTCTGGACCATTTCAATTTACTAATATCTCTTCTAGAGTTTCATTACCACATCTGCACAGAATATCCTAGGTTACTTGTCTGAGGTTAATATGATTATTCATTTTTTAAAAACCCTTGATACCAAAAATGAAACAGAACATCTTATTTGCTTTTTTAGCACATTGGGTTGCTGTGTTTAGGAAATGAACTGAAAACTCCAACATAATTACACTGGGTTCTGATAGTTGTGACCTAGTCTTTGTTCTATTTCTTGAATTCAGGCATTCCCTATATAACTGCCCTTCTCTTTCTACACTCTCTTCTTTGGGAGAGAATTGTTGGAGTAGATCCTGAAAGAGGTAGGAAGGAGGTGATGGAATGCAGAGTACAGACTGAGACATTTTTCTTAAGGGAGTAGGAAACACCTCTTACACTGAGGCTGGAGGCGAGGAAGAAAGGATAGACACTGATGGTATATTTAACTAAGTTGCAGGGTAAGGAAGGTGATAACAATTTTCTTGAGACTCTTGTTTTGTTTTTGTTTTGTTTTTTCAGTTAAAAAGGAGGCAAGGTGTGCATTCCAGGTGACTTGTCTGTATAAGAATGGAAGTCACCCAGATAATGGCAGGGTTGGGGTGGGGGGAGCTGGAGGAAAGGAGGAAGCTGTGAACCATATGTCCAAGTCCTCCATGAATGTGTGGGAGTGAACAGGAAGTCATTAGATGAAGGCAAGAAGAACAGATGTCATTCAAGCTTCAGTGGAGGATGGAGGTGTAATGAGCTTGGAAGAAGTAAGTGGAGCCCTCTGATACAGTGTGTGGGTTCTGTGTATTTGTGTATGTGTATGGGGGGGGGGGCAATGGGGTGGTGAAGAAATGAGCAGCCTCCACTTGAAACAGCTTTAGAGCATGTGATGTCCAGGGTGAAATTCAGGAGAGGGAGCATCCATGCAGCAACTGAGAGTGTTGGGTAGTTTGTTTATAATGGAAGGAATTCTAGAGAGCACACGACAAGCATTGGCAGGAAGGGCAGTAGTGAGAGGAGAAACAGGGAGGTGAGAGTCAGAAGCATAAAGCAGTGTTGGTTTGAGAGGGAAGTATATTCTGGGGGAGCTGAAGGATCTTGGGGATTGGCCCACTTGGTAGGGTTATTGCCATATCAAGATTCTTCCTGGCACTCTGAGGTAAAGAAGTTGCTGGGGAGGGCATACTGTGTTGCTGGGGTCATATCAACAGAGGTAGAGTCTGAGATGTAAAGGCTTGCTGACTGTAGTTAGGCAAGCAATATGTGGCTTTGCTTTTTTCAAGCTCCAAACACTAGGACAATGAAAGATGATTTTGTGCTGAGGCAAGAAAGATTTGAACTGGGTGATTAGGCCTGAAGAAGCAGGTATACTCCATCACTAGTCTTCTTGGTGACCATGATAGGTCTGGGGAAGGGGTAGTGGGAGACTGAGAAG